AATGACAGTGACCCAGGCTGGCAGCGGTGTGTGCAGAAGCTAACACAGCCCAGTGCAAACTGTCAATAAAGACCTGGAAGGAAGTCGCCAGCCCTGTTCCCACTTCCACCCCTGTTGTAGTCTGAGTGGATCCTTATCAATGATTCCACGTCCACATTGCCCTCTAGTCTCTGAGTTCAGGAGATGTGATGGTCATCTCTATTTGAGACTTGTTTCAACTCTTTGAAATGTAAATATGTAAGACCTTTTAGGAAACCTGGATGCTTGTGACACAAACACAAACATTAGCACAGCCCTTCTCAAACACCGAAAAACTATTCTAAATAGAAATGTTTTGCTGACTTTTTTTTTTGCAGTGACGTCAGAATTTTCCCAACTGTTTCTCTGTCAGCCAGATCTCAGCCTCCTGAGTGGCTAGGATTACAGGCGTGAGCCACCGGGGCCAGGCTGGCTTCTCCTTTTTAATAAAAACCTGTCATGTTTTTTAATATATGCCTTATAACTGCCTGTAATTCTGAAAAAGCATCCTCCAAAGCCACTGGTAGCCTTCAATGTTCAATGCATTTTTCTTCTTTTCAGTTCTCATCGTTAGGATTGAAGGCAGCACCGACACCTCTCCTTTCTGCTTCTCTGACACCAGATGATTGATCCTAGCTTTCATTCCACCCCTCTGTGACTACTGCCTTAACACCAATGTGCCTCTTCCCCCGGGCTCTGTCATCAACCCATTGTCCTCCTCTCTCCTCTGCAAGCTGGCCTCCATCACTTCTGCTTCTACTTGACTGAATACTAGATTGCCCACAAAGCCAACACAATGCCAACCTGCATTTCTAAGAGAGTCTCCTGTCAACCTCTGGAAGTGTCAGACTCTTCAAATACAAAATTCTACAACAGAACCGATACTCGCTCAGAGGAAGCAGAGTATATTCCCTGTCTCTCCTATTCCAGCTTTATTCAATGAACTTTGATGCTCCTTGTCTCTCATGCCCACCAGAAAACTGGTACCCACCCATTCTTTCCTCTGCTTCCATTTATTCCATCTTAGTTGAAGTCTTCAGTTCCATTCACGCAACCTTGGATAAAAGTTGAAATGAGCTACTGGCTGCCAGCATTGCTCTTAAATTAATCTCCCTTAAGAACATCTCTGATGATATATTTCCACAGCCCTCAAAAGTCATGGAAGGATAAAAGGCTAAAGCAAAACCACTTCAGCCTCGCACTGAGAATTTTCTGCACTATCCTCCGATTATCCAGTCTCCCCTGCTCCCTCTGGGTATTCAGCCTTTTGGCGAACTGATTACGTCTTTGTGCGTACTCCAAGTGAATATGTTGGTATTTGCACTGCTTGTAACCAGGAACATTATCCAGCACATAAAACTGCTCAATAAATATTTGCTAAAAGAATAAATGATAGCACACGAGAATCCTCTGCCCTGAAAACCTACCCAGTATATTTTAGAAGGATGAGGTAGATGTTACTGCAAGGTTTAGTAACTCCAGAGAATGGAATCAAAGCCAAAAAAGTAAATAGAAGGGGAGAGAAGTCACTAAGGAAGCCCCCAGAGGACCCTCTCCCTAAAAAGATTATTAGCTCTGTTGGAAAGCACATGAGTTTTCTAGACTTAAGTAAAAGGGCAAATGGTAACTTGCCAATGAAGCTCCCAGTACTACACATTTTTTTTTTAAAGAAGTTCAGTTTCTGTTGTTCTTTATTTACTTAAAAATGGGTGTCACCTATCAGAGTCATTTGTCAAGGGCTGAACAGTTGCAGCGAAACGAATCGGAACCTTTCATTGTGAATAATGCATAATTAACATACTAGCCAGAGGATGCCGAAGGCTTCACTCAAAAACATTCTGGTACCAAAGGAGAAAAGGAATCTTAACTTGGTAAATTAAAACACATGGTGCATGTTTGACTCTTAACATCCATAAAAGCTGAAGGGAGAGATGCCAATTTGTCTAGTAATGACGATAAAGTTGGAAGAACAGGGGGGGAATTCCGCCCCAAAGTGACTATGTTCCAGATAATCTCTCTCTTGCCTTTGCGATGTGGTTTATGATAAAGATTTTATAGTAAGGATTTGAACCATATAACACTGAAAAGACTCAAAAGTAAATATAAAAGTTCCATAATCTGTTCTGTAATTAGTCCTGATTTTTATCACGTAAGTAGAGATCTTCCGTAAATAATAAATCAAAGCTATACTTGATTTCCTCCTGGACTGTTAGAATTACTTTGACTAATCATTTGACTATTCTCCATCTACACTTTGTTATTGTATGTGTGTGTGAGTGTGTGTGTGTGTGTGAGTGTATGTGTATGCACAAGTGCTGGAGCTTGAACTCAGGGCCTCAGATTTTGACTTGCCTTCTTTTACTCAAAGCTAGAGCTCTACAGTTGAACCATACCTTCACTTGCAGCATTTTTGCTGGCTGATTGGAGATAAGAGTCTCAGACTTTCCTGTTCAGGCTGGCTTTGACCATTTATCCTTAGGTCCCAACCTTCCAAGTAGCTAGGATTACAGGTGTGTGCCAACAGTGCCTGACTACATCTTGCTATTCTAGTCATCTTTTACTCATAGAAACCCAGAGAAGCTGCTTAAAATACAACAAAACCACATCAGGCTCCATTCACATATCTTTTATGGAGTTAGTTCAATGACTCTTGACAGTGCCCAAAGCATGATCCAAACATCACAAATAAGTTCAGTAACAAGACTGTGGCACTGAATGCTACTGGACATTCCAGCCAAGAGAAGGGGAGACAAGTCAGTAGATAGTAAGAGGCCCTGCTGGTACCTAGTCTGCGTGGTATCTCCCCTACTCAGGATGTAACATGCTTGAGTATCTTGAGGGTGGAATACGGACCTGCCTATCTACTACCTACTGTTCTAAGGAACCTTCAAGTAAAGCAAGAGCTGTGGCTAAATATCAGTTCTGAAAATGCTACTGTCGATTCATGCTGTTGTATTGTTCTTCCTTGTAATAAAGAAAAAAAAATCCCTGAGGAGATCAGTACATTCAAGAAGCCTCGGGATTACAGAAAAACTTTTGGCTAAGCATAAAAATAAAGGAGTTTACAGTTAAAACACAGTATTACTGGGGCTGGGAATGTGGCTCTGTTGGTAGAGCGTTTGCCTTGCATGCCTGAGGCCCTGGGTTCGATTCCTCAGCACCACATAAGCAAAAAGAAAAAAGCCGGAAGTGGCTCTGTGGCTCAAGTGGTAGAGCACTAGCCTTGAGCTGAAGAGCTGAGGGACAGCGCCCAGGCCCAGAGTTCAGGCCCCACGACCGGACCCAAGAAAAAAAAAAAAAAACACAGTATTGCTCAGCCTCTCCTCCCAACACTTCCCTACTCCTCCAAAATGGTACCAGATACAGCAAAAAGGCCTGAAACCCAGCTGCTTTCTCTGTAGTGACCTATGTCACTGAAATGGACTCTAGGGTATATGCGCCCATCAAGAAATAGTTATCCATACTGTGCATTATTCTTGTTTTATATCCATTGACTATCTGGCCAGTTCAAGTTTATTAAGAACATTGAAGGAGCTATTTACTACCCCATCTATGGTGTGTCACTTTTATTCTACATACTTTAACAAACTAGATGCATATTCTTCTAAAATGTATTATCCTATCACCTGTATTTTTCTTGAATAATTAGAATCCTCCTAATAGTTAAAAATGGGTCAAATAACTACAATGGGCTGAAACTTACCTTGTTCTCTGATTATTATTTAATCCTTATTCTATATACTATTCATCTCATTATATTTTTAAAACCACACAGAACTTGACTGGCATCCAAAAAGTTAGTACAGGAGTTATTTAATACTCTGAAACTTTTGTAGCAATGAACGGGCTCTGTTTCCCTTTTTTTTGAAAATTCTTTAAAAATATATACACATTTTAAACTTAAAATAAGATTTAAAAATAATTGACAGCTATAGAAAGGCATATTGATACTATCCGTGTGTGTGTGTGTGTGTGTGTGTGTGTGTGTGTGTATATATATACATATATATAATAAACCTTAATGCTATTAACTAATACTTGAGAATGTTGGCTAATGCAATTTAGAAGCTATGTTGAGTTTAATTTCTGAAAGGCATCTTGTACAATTCCCTGTAAGGTGTTCATCAGAACACCTGTACATACAACAGAATATGATCATATTACAGAATGTATCTTTTTAAATGTTTTTAAAAGAAATACAAATCAAAGCAACATTGAGATTCCACCTCACCCCAGTTAGAATGGCCATAATCAAGAAACTTAACAATAACAAAAGCTGGCAAGGATGTGGCCAAAAGAAAATGCTATTACACTGTTGGTGTGAATATAAATTTGTTCAAATACTGTGGAAAGCATTACAGAGGGCCCTCAAAAGATTAAACAGAGCTTCACTTGACCCAGCAATCCCATTCCTAGGCAAAAATCTACAAACCAGGCCACACTAAAGCCACCAGCACAATCATGTTCATTGTAGTATTTCTCACCATAGCCTTGATCAGGAATCAACTCAAATGGATGAATGGATCAAGAACATGTGGTATATATATACAATAGAATTCTATGCTTCCATCAGAAAGAATGATAGTGTACCAAGCATAATGGAAAGACTTGGAAAAAAATTACATTAGGCAAAGCCAGCCAGATCCACAGAAACATAGGTTCCATGGTTTCCCTTATTTGTTGTGACTAGAATGTGCCTATAAATCTACAAGTAAACCTAATGGACAAATAATTATACTTGGTAAATTATACCTGGTAAATTAAACAGGACTCTAGACATTCACACAGGGAGACCAGAGGAGGATATTCTTAGGAGAGGATCACAATGGCTCAATAGTTATGTGAATATGATCATACAAAATGATATTTTATTGGCATGAATGCCAAGAAATAGACACAAGAGGATTTTTGGTTTTGTTTTGCTGTTTTCTCCTTTGTTGCTGGCTTTTTTTCTGTGCTTTTTGTTTTGCATGCTTTTGTATGTTTTGTTTTGGAGAGGGTAAGGGGTGCACAGAAATGGTGTGACAAAGGGTAAACTAATGCAGCAGTGATACTCAGTAGACACTATGTTAAAATGAACTATACAGCTTGTTGGGGAGGGGGGTTGGGAGGGAAAAACTGGGAGAAAACAAGGGAAGAGGTGACATTGTTAAAAAAGAAATATACTCATTATGACTTATGTAACTGAAATCCCTCTTTACATCACTTTAACAATAATTTTTTTAAAAAATGCTGCCAGGGGCCAGTAGCTCACGCCTGTAATCCTAGCTACTCAGGAGGCTGAGATCTGAGGATCATGGTTCAAAACCAGCCCGGGCAGGCAAGTCCGTGAAACTCTTATCTCTAATAAACCACTAGAAAACCGGAAGTGGCGCTGTAGCTCAAGTGGTAGAGTACTAGCCTTGGGCTGAAGAGCTGAGGGACAGCGTTCAGACCCAGAGTTCAAGGCCCACGATCGACAAAAAAAAAAAAAAGAAAGAAAATGCTTTATTACAGTAACCAACTCATATATTCCAAGGGACTTGGGCGGAATGAAATTCAGCTGGTGTTTGCTATTTTATGCAATCAACGATTACCAAATTAGTAGTGCTATGTTTGGCATTGCTTTCTAGATTTTGTAACCTCATTGTTTCCCAAAGAGGCTGTGGGCACACATTGTTGTTTCATTCCCCCAAATCTACCCAGGTATACATTTAATTTGAAGAATTGGATATAAGGTTTGAATGAATGCAAAAGTAAACTCAAACCGTCTTTTATTTTCTCAGATTCATGAGCTGAAGCTTCTAATGTCAGGAATGGGAGAAAGATCAAGGCTATAATGTCCACCTTCACAACCAAGGTTCAAAACAGCGGCTCTGAGTTCTTGACCACATGCAAGTTGCATGAACTCACTCCTATTTTGAAAGTGCACATGACACTATAAATTCTTACTACCTTCTAGTAGTCAGGAGACTGGAATGTTTTCAACCCACATATATAAAACAATTCCCAGGCTGCTAATAAAGATTTCACCCCAAATATGATTCATAATGAATATATGGTGTTATGTTTCTTTACAGGCCTGTATTTTATATGCAGACATTATGAAACAAGACCCAATTTCACATTTCTACTTTTATTAGCGCAACAATACAGGCCTCTGCTACGTACATGACAAAACTCACTGGTAGACTCTGTGGACAGCAGAAGGATGGGAGACAGAAATGGTGAATCATTTGGCCATTTCATGAACTGTTACTTTTAGGACATTTTATAATACTTTACATCTATTGTTCACAGCACTGTAATACTGTGAAAACTTCATGCTCATAATCTACTCATAATCTACCCAGCTCACAAAGTAGTATATACCAACTCTGTTATGTCGACCTGCTTGAAAGCGAACAACGTGTGTGGCAGCTACATCTTCACTGTGACTCAGTACCTAGAAGAGCACCAGACGTGCGATTGAGAGCACTTGAGGGGCAGGTGAGTCCTGAAAGGCTGAAGGAAAGGATTTTTTCTCTCTGTGCCAAAGGAACAATCTGGGTACTACTTGAGAAATGTATACCTAATAAATTCATGAGCCCAGAATGGATCCCTAGGGAACAGAAGACATTTGGAGGAGGAGAAGACATCAATAAGAGACAGAATAGGACAAATGAACCAGCAGAAGGCGATGTCCAGGGACAATGTCACAATCCCAGCAGGGGATGTGGGTGCTGGGCTAAATGTTTTGCTGGGGCACCATAGAGACAAGGATCAAGAAAACCACTCCAGTGGGCTCTGGGAATTCATGGGTGACAGTGACAGAGGAGTAGATGATGATGACAGTACTTACAGGGCACTGTCTCAAGCACGCTTCCTTCAGGCGAGTTCTGGTTTTCTTTCCCTTAGAAATCAACCTCTAACAGTCATAAGGAAGCAGAAGCCTAACGTGCATCTTGTCTGGCTCTTGACAAAGAGCAGACCTGCCCACAATGAGCACCTGAGACCCAGGCTGGACAATCAGAGAATCTGAGTGGAAAGGATCATGACATCCTAGAAAACAAATGGCACGGGGCAATAAAGATGGAGGCATCGACTCATCGTATTCAAGAATGAATTCATCATCATGGTAAAGAGTTCTGGCTATTTCTAGGAGGGAGGAAACCAACAACAACAACAAATCAGACTGAGCTTATCCTTCTCCACAAGATAATTAGTATTAGATACGCAGAGATGTTTCTAGAAATAAATTCCAGGCAAGGAAAGGTTTTTTTGATGACCATAATTCATTGGACAAATCAGTTTCACCTAGACCTGGTCATTCTTCACCTGCACACCTACCAGAAAGCAAGGCTGGTATGAGGTCACACCTTTACTTGCCCGACAAGAGCATACTCCCTACTTCTCAGTGCAGAAACTCAAAAGTGCTTGGAAGTCTTTTCTGCTGTAAAAACAACTGCTTATATTTACTCTCCACTCTCATTAAAAAGAAGCAAAAGTTTTCAATAATGAGGTCAGGGCTATCTGACACTTAGAAAAAATATCGGCTATCACATGGCTTATCTGAGTGGATTTTAGAAGTGTATTTGCAGAAAAAGACTCCCCTCCCCACCCCCAGACTCAACTGAAGACAAATATAGACACTCTGTAGCAAGTTTGAGCTGACAAAATTCATCGTTATGTGTGTATATATATCTCATGTACATATACACACATCTTTCTATTTTAGAATACAGTGGACATACCCACATTAAAAAAATTTTAATTTTATTACTTCCTAAGCAAAATTACTTTTCCTCCAGAGTTTAAGTTCAAAGTAGTATATTTGAACTCTCAAGATCTCGTTGAGCTGATAATTGTACAGAATGCCTCCTTTAGCGAGACTTTGGTAAATTCTTCTTCCGTGCTCAATCCTAATTATTTGCAATGATTTCCATGCTAACAGGTTTTCATCATTTCTCTTCTGTCTTCTACCTTCACCTCACTTTTTTCCTTCCATAAATGACTTTGCACCCTGATTACACAGTCAGGAAGGCATCTGTCATCGGCTGTTTTATTGAATTTATCAAAAACTCAAGAAGCTATGAAAAATGGGGCAAGTGTTTTCAGACAGTAAGTTTAAAACACACAATCGTAGAACTTGTAGCAAGTAGAACTCAACATACTGCTTGCAAGTGCTGAAATGTAGCTCTGTTAAGTCTACATGTCTTAAAGATAACATATTTAAGTACAATTTTTAATGGTACATTTCATAATCGTTTATAAAAAATAAACCCCCTTTTCAACATAGGCTTCACACACTCACCTGTTGGTCAGAATGCCAACTAGAACATTATCAGTTTAAAATTCCACTCAAAGGTTTATTTTCTGAATTAACAACATTAAGAATTAGAGCGAGTAGACCAATCTGACAGAGCGGTCTGGGACGCTATGTTTGGACTTTGTGTTAATGATTGACACTGTTAAATAATAAATGTGTGTCGCCAACATTAAATCAAAGTTCATATTTCTAACCTTGATGAAACACAGAAAAATTGTCCAAATAAATGTTCTCATAAAGGAACTGTCCTTAGTACAAAGTATATATTTTTGGTGCATACAAGTAGAAACTTAGTTCGCTGCCTTCCTTTTCCCTTACCATGCAGGGCAGAACAATTTTCTCTAATCTTTCCATTTTTAAAATTATTACTTAAATGTGGTCTCCAGAGAGGTTACAGAAGTCAGGTAAAGAGTATATTTCTTTTTGGACAATATCACCCCTTCCCTGACTCTCTCCCAGTTTTCCCCTTCCTGTCCCCACCTACAAATGGTATAGTTCTTTTTCAACACAGTGTCTAGTGAGTCCCTCTGCTGCATTTGTTCACCCTTTGTCCCTCCATTTCTGCAAAACAAAATTTGCAACGCTTCCTGGAAGAATCATTTAAGTAGTTGGGTAGGAAGTTAACTGAAGTAGGTTTTGGAAAGTTTGGGGGCTCAAGTCCACCCATAGCCTGAGAATGTGGCCACAACCTTCCTTTCAACTTCATTCATGTTGAATCTCCTTCCTGTAGCCTCTCCATGGCAGTTACATTGCTCTTCTTGCTCTTCCAAGGGCCGTTGTTCTGTGTGCTTATAATTGCCTGACTTCCTCCCTTGTTCAGCCCTCCAAAGCCTGTTACTATTCAAGATGTACCTAACCTCATCTTGAGTGAAGCCCTCTTCCATGCACTCCTGAGTCCCTCAAAGCCACCGCAACTGTCTATACAATACAATCCTCAATAATCCTACATTTCTTCTGAGCTGACCCCTACATTATTGCTTAAATAGTTACGTTCTTTCAAAGTGTGGTTTTCTGTCCTGTACATTCAGGCATGCCCATAACACTGAACACAAGTCACTTTCCATCACAGTGGGGTGCTGAAGTACATAGATTACTTCCAACTAATCCCTCCGAAGGCCAGGTAATGCATTTCTAGGACACTTGGTCCCTTCCCTGCTTACTAGTAGCAGCTCACACATCTCTTCTAGAAACTCTGGGTAAAGTAAATCCCATAGAATCCTGCTGTCCTTAGCAGCCAACTCAGAGGAAATCCATTTTAATCTGAAGAAGGCCAGGACACATCACCACTTATTTTGAAGAGTCTGGCTGCTGCGCACGAAAAACCCATGTACAGGGGGATGAGTTTTCCAAGATTCATTGAGATGGGAAGCCAGCACAATGGAACTCAGATTAGAACCCAGCCCAAAGCTGAGAGGCACAGTCTCTAAAACCTTCATGACATGTTGGTCAGGAGCGATGGATGACAGCCCAAGGAAACAGAAATGCGATACGGAGCTTTCCACCTTGAGGTGACTGGGGAAAACTCAGCTTGGGATCAGGAAGAATTTATAGTCTTCTCATGCAATAAAGAAAGTTATTTGTGACCCAGGGAAAGTGACCATGAGACATGCTACCTCCTGCCCACAGTCAGATAGGAGACAAAGCCACACCACCTGCAAAGATGTTAAATCACCCCCATGCCTGTGCACTGCACTGTGCACACCACACACAGTGAAGAACATAGACTTACTTTGGAGAAACCCTCAGCACCCATTCTGTTACTTATTCCCAAAGATGCTACTGGGAACTTTAAGATGATTGAATCGCAGAACTCAAATCATGGGACTCCAAACTGACATGTTGAGTAGAAACCC